CCAAACTTGCGGAACAGTTCTGTGACGGAAATCACGGATTTCTGATCCTACGGATTCTGCCCGGTTTACAGATGAATACAGTGAACATACATCATTACTGCCAGAAATGTGCTTTGAAACGCAGTTATAATGAAAAACTACTGATATCCGCTATTTGAGATTATTTATAAAAAAAACAAACTCGCCAGCACTATATGGTTGAGAACAAGCTCTCTTGCAACTATTCTATCAGCGTTTCAACCATTCCTCTTTTTGGACTACTGGGCAAAGCCTGTAGATTCAGAGGCCGCAATTTCTGCAGCAGCCGTTTCGCGATTTGGTGTAAATATATCTATAGTGATCTGAAAGCTCTCAATGCTGTACCTCTCCTAGCTGAAAGCCGGTGCGACCCACTATTCTTCCCTTATCAGCAGGAGGCATTACTTGAGTACATTCATATCATGTGTTCTAGTCAAAGGCTCGACTCGGCCGACTACACTGAATAATACAATTGTACGTCGTTCTCTTGATTCACATTTTCGCCTGCCAAAAGAATGATACGTTAATTACCCTGGCGCATAATTCGCAATTATCCCCGCCAATGCTAGTGCTTTTGGGTTTATGCTGAAGCCTGAAAATAACTCGCAAAGAAGGGTACCTTGCATGAATTGGCTGCCTAATGTTTCAGCTATACTGACCCTCAAAGAAGTAATAGAAGCCTTGGCATATGCGTCCAATCACTTCGCTCCTTGGCACAAGCCGTGATAACCGCAAAAGCGTATTCAGTTAGGCGACTAGCATAAATTTACTGATGCCTTAAGCTCCTAAACCGCATAAACGCTTAGTGGAACAGCGTGCAACTCGTCTTTCCATTCCAGGCTCTGAGAGACTTGCCGTAAACGTCATGTTGATGAACTTAAGCCCGTTTGGTTGGGCCACGACTTTGAACTACAAATACGACATCAACACCATGCGAGATCAGTGGAGAATCCCACATTTCATCCGTATCCGGTAAATGTTTGTGATTAGCTTTAGTGTTAGGCATAATGTCACTATGTACTGATTATAGTAAGGCGGCAACAAAACAAGGAAGTCATGACGAATCCGTCGAACTGCGAAGTGGTTTCTTCCACTTGCGTGAAAAGGTGAGCAGTCTACCTTTCAATTTCGACAACTAAATGTGCTTACAGATTGCAGCAATTACACTTTGTCTGGGTTTGAAGCATAGTTTAATCCACTTTACCTATATGCGTTTGCCGAACCTGCGGCCGACTCAGAGAAAGAAGAAGAACTGTTCTAGAAGCAAAAAATAGAATTCTTGTTATGGCCAGGTAACAGCCTCCTCTGCATTCCCTCACCTTTTTGTTTGAAGGAAATCCTGAACATGAGACCGTGCTAGTTAATAGGCGTTTCATTTGTTCCCTAGAGTTGTTATTTTGCGCAAAGTTTTGATGAAGCGGTTGGTTTACGGCAAAGTAGTACCATTTGAAAGAGCTAATCTTGCTTCACAAGAGTAGTTCGCTTTCAGACCAAACTTACAAGGGAAGAAAGGTGGTTAAAATGGTCTTTTGAAATGAAATGTGTACAATCTTGCGGAGCTTGGAAAGCTGATTCCAAATCTACCTTTGCTATCTGCTGCGGGCTTTTGAGCGACGAGATATGAAGGTTTTCAAGAGAAAAAATAAATGCAAAATTACAATTAACTAGCTGGCTTACCCGGCTCCGCCGTATGTTCCGAATAGAAAATTCCATTTCTTAACCGATCCGGACCAAACTTGGCACACATACACTTCGGGCCCCGGCGGGTGTCACTGTCCACTTTCTTGCTATCGATCGATGTCGATGTTAGCGATTTTTTGCAAAATATGAGCTAAGGGGCTGGAATTTGGCAGAGGGGCGTAATCCCCCACGGGGGTGATCAGCATGCTCGATTACCGCCCTGTGCCAAATCCCAGCCCCGTAGCTCAAACTTTGCAAAAAATCGATAAAATCGATATCGATCGATGACGAAAAAAAGCCTATGACACGCGCCTGGGCCCGGAGTGTATGTGTGCTAAGTTTGGTCCCGATCGGTTCAGAAATGGAATTTTCTATTCGGAACATACGAACACACAGACACACAGACATACAGACATACAGACAGACAGACAGACAAACAGACATTCAACTTTATATATAAGATTCAACTGGCTGAGCTTCGGCAAAGGCGGGCTTCGTGACCTAATTAAAGCTAGGTAATGATTGGAGAGCACTCGCGTGCGAGAGACGCAGGTGCGTCGCGGGCGCGAGCGGCCTGCCCTGACGGAGCTAAACTAGTTGAATCAAAGATAGTATATTAATCAGTCGTAACCTTTTTCTGACGTTTAAATGAGGCAGCAGCGAGTTAGTACATTCAAATCAAAAATATTTGTTGCACCGAGTGACGCAACTATAGTTAAACCTTACGGAAAATGTTACGACTGATTTTACGCTGATTTTGCATTCAAGTATATATTAGAGAAACCTTCACACCTCCCTCCTCAGTCAGAAGCCCGCAGCAAATAGAGAAGGCAAATTTGGAATCAGCGTTCCAAGCTCTACAAGGCAGTATACATTTCGTTTCAAAGGGCCACTTCGACCAACCTTCCTTCCCTTGTTAGATCCCTTGTTGCATGATGTGGTATGGCTTCTTGAAGCAGACTTTTTTGAGAAGCACTGCACTTTCAGTATTTGATCTGTATCCCACACATTGTTATCCTCATATGTAAGCGGAAGGCTAGTAGCAAGCAAGATTGGTATATTTATTTATTTATTTATTTTATTTGAATGCACTTAGAATTGCGCCAAAAAGAGCAGAAAACACAGCAGATAACCAATCGACCACACACCCAGTACAGTAGCAGGGGAAAAGCCAGACGCATATGTATGTATGTATGTATGTATGTATGAAGCAATTTCCCTCAGACATGGAGCATGTGGTCTATGAACGTCAAGTTCTCCAAGAAAACTCTCAAGTCAATTTCAGGACGACGAACCTAGCGGTGTGTGGTCGGCCAGAAAGATGGGGTTAGTGACAGGAAAAAAACTAAAACGTAAATAATGATATACATCAAATGTTAGTAACACCACACTTTACAAACAAACAAAAAACTATGTGGAATTATGTGTCGTGTTGGAGGACGACAGAAAAAAGGGACGCGACATTCCTGAAAAAAAAACCGGGAAGCGAAAATAGCTTCAGTAGTTATGAAAACCCTTGACTTGTAATAGGTCAACTTGCGCTATTTTACGTTTAAACGCAGCTGATTCAACAGATGATAACGTCGGAAGTGGAAGCCTGCTAAGCCATCTAGGTGTTCTGTAAAAAAGAGTATTAAATGTTCGTAGAAAGCGTTTCCTATAAATACGTGGGTAATGAATGTTAAACCCACCCGTCCTACTACTAGGTCTGAAAATCCAGGACTTACTTGCGCTAAGCCTAATTTCCTTACGAAGGAGGCGAAAAGCGAAAATAAGATCTAGATAAGTTCGTCTAAGTTCCAGACTCTTCATTGCCAAAGACTTGAGGCGTTCTTCATATTTAGGCATTTCATCGAAAGCTAATCTTTTACGACATCTCAGAAACAAAATGATGCGAGTAAATGTTTGTTGAACTTTTTCTAACCTCAAAATGTCTCTTTTTGAAAAAGGATTCCATATCACAGAACAGTATTCGAGGTGAGGCAAAGCGTACGTTTTATATAAACGCTTCAGTATCAATGGGTTGTCGGTATTAACAGATCGGAGGATAGAAAAAAGAACTGAGTATGCTCTATTAACTACGTTGTCAATGTGATGCGAGAACTTCAAGTCATTATCTATTAGAACTCCTAAGTCCTTAGCAATGAAACAGTTCTTCAACACCGTTCCACTTATCTCATAAACAGGATTCTCGTTATCACCTAAATGCATGACAAAACATTTATTCAAATTTACTGGGATGCCAGAGAATGATGCCCACTCTATCATTCTTTCCAGGGAATGCAGATCTAACTTCATCACGATTTTTCGCGCTATAGCTCCCGTAGATCTTAATATCGTCCGCATACATTTGAATTTTTGTATGCTCGGATGTTCTCAAGATTGACGGGAGATCAGCGGTATAAACCAGAAAAAGTAATGGAGAAAGAACTGCTCCTTGTGGAACACCACTAACACAAGCTTGTCTATCCGAGCAATAGTGCCCTACCTTGACTGTCATGGCTCTATTACACAGATACGATTCAAACCATTTCAAAAGGTTACCACTTACACCGATTCGCTCCAGTTTCCACACAAGCTTCTTATGATCAACTCGATCAATTGCTTTCGAAAGGTCTATATAAACAACTAGCTGTCGTACCCGGCCTTGCCCGGGATAACATCACTTAGGGTTCACTGTCTTTGGATATATGTGACACTCAAAGCAGTAGTGTATCATTGAAGTTTGTTTGCAAAAATAAAAATAAAATGTGTACACTTTTACTCAACAGCATTGTCTCTCTTCTTTTTGAAACATGGAAGACGTGAAAAAACTTGAAGAGCAAGCATTGCGATATAGGTGGAAGAACGTTCGAATCTCAGACATTCGCAGTTAAGTCCCGCCGGTGAAAAAGTTGTGTCCCGCCGGAATGACTGCGGGACACAAGTAAAATGGTTCGCGAGAAAACCGGGACTCCCGGTTTTCGTTCGGGATAATGCGGCGCGACTCCCGGTTTTGTCCCGACATGTTTTCTACTGAGACCTTCGGGAGTCCCGGTTTTCTCGCGATCCGGTCACCGGCGGGACTCCCGCTCTAGACTGCAGTCTCCTGCGGGAGGCGCGATATAGCAGCGACCCGATCAGCTTCCGCCTGGGCTTTTTCTAGAATTGGTTCTCCTTCAAAAATTTACACTACACACATCTTACAAAGGTGCTGTGCTCGACACAGAGTTCAGAAAGACTCTTCATTAGCATTCGTGACCAAAAAAAGAACATTGAAATCATCATAACTAAGTTAACAGAAAAAAACAGGAATGTCGAGATCAAGATTTGACATTGAATCCATTATTCATATCGACTTCAGACTTCAGACTTTCGATGTCTTCGTCTTGCTCATGCTCTGGCTCATTCGTGTGCTCGTGCGCCAAAGAATCTTGCGTTGTAGCGGGGCAAAAACGTTTTTTCTGGAAAAGAATTACAATTCAACACTGATTTGAGAAATCATATATGAATATTACCGAGGGTGGCGACAGCATCTCCTTTTCAGCATCGAAATGGTAGGCGCGCAGGTCACCTCTGAACTTCAAATTCAATAGATTCATGAAGATCTTTAAAAGAAACCCACAAAGCTCTTCCTATAGCCACTCGTGCTAATCCACAAAGCTTCATCCTCGCCTCCGACAACCTGTCAAACATCTTCGTCCTCGCCTCATCGTCGTTCCCTAGGCCCAGCCAAAATCTAAATCAATGAGATATCAAGGGGTAGAAACACTTCTATTTATACCTATTTGATTGCCGCGCGCATTCGCTAGCACTCATCAGCAGTTCTTCTGCGTATAGGCCAACACCATCAAGAACGAAATCTGGAAGATCTATTTTAGAATTTTTAGAGAGACCATCAATTACTCACTTATCAAAAATGTGACGAGACTTTCGGGCAGGTCCTGCAGATGCGGAAATCTTCCCCTTTTACCGGATTGTCTGCACGCAAAATTTTGGATTTCTTGTTTTGGTTCGCATGCCTAAGTGCACCTCTCTTCAGTATAGACTCGAAATTTTAGCCTCACTTACATGCAAAAAATAGAACCTATAAAAATCCATCATTAACAAAAAATGGTCATTTTTGTGTGCCCTTGATGGCTGCGTCCAATTCTCAAATAACTCGATCATGTTAGCATTTGAAACAAAATTAAGTGCTGCTGTATCGATAACAACTGCTATAGGTAACCTTAAATGGAGGAAACCCGTTAAATTTCCACGACTTTGTGAAATTCTTTCGCTCAAATACATGTCCTGCCGGTAAAGTAAATTCGTTGCCTTTCGCTATGTGATATGAAGCTTTCCGTAACTGCTTTCCATGTTCTTGCTGATTGGAGAGAATTACGTCTATCTAAAGAACTGCATTTCACCCTCCGTTCTGGATCTACCTTACTTACAGTCAGACTTAGTCCAGCTATGATATTGCTTTGCTCTTTTATGATTCCAGCTAAAGTTCTCACGACTGAGTCTGATGATGGTCTCATTGAGTTGATTGCGTTTTGCATACTCTTGACTTATGAATGGTAGTTTCCCAAAAAATCCAAAGACTTCGGACTTTTCGAGACTCACTTAAAAATACGAAAAACAGAACAAAAGAAAACCGACGTTGCGCAAGATGCCCCAAAGATTTCAACATCGTAAATTATCTTCAAAGAATTCCGCTACAACTAATAGAATATCGGACGAAGGGGGACTCAGTGGAGAGTCAACGGCATAGATCCGCATAATCTTCTTTTCTGATTTCAAAAAATATTACTTTGTTTTCAAAAGAAGACATTGTTCAGGAATCTATAATTTAGTACCATGTAAGGATATTGACACCACCAGATATAAACGTGAAAAAATGATTAAAAACAAACAATAGTTGATTCTCACAAAACGAAGAGCAACACATTCGCGACTTTTACATCTTCACATGAAGTGTGCGACAAGCGCACTGAACTGGCACTTACTAATAACGCCATAACATGACAGAAAAAAAACAGCTGTTTGCGCAATGCGACCACGGCGATGATGACAGATGGCAGATGTTCACAAACAAAAAACCAAAAATGCACAAAAAAGAGGTGAAAACACGGGAAAAAGAGAAAGCACTCACTGTAGTCGCCAAAACGTCATTTTCAGCTGTGGCGCAGATTTGACTGATCATCGGATCATTTGAAGGCGTTCCATGTTCGACACATGCCATTAACCAATAATGAATCGAACATGACAGATCCGGGTAAAGAAATGCTTTGGCGACGAACTTTGCGTGCGAGTCAATCAAGTGTGCCTATAAAAACTCTATAAAAAGAGAAAAATACTGACTCCCAAAATCATTTCTTGCAGGTATCTCCGAGTTAAATACGATGAACATGTACACCAAGAAACGAAACCAGCCTTCGAACACAACTGCCTCCGACGACGGCAAGAGCGTAAATGAAAACTGCTGCGGAAGCGGTGCTACTGCGGTGCAACATGTCACAACATGTTGGCGCGGCTAAGATGTTCTGTCAACATGTTGTGGCATGTTGCAAACATGTTACAACCACGTTACCAACATGTTTCCATGTTAGCTGGATGGCGAGATCGCGACTCCCGGTTTTCTCCCGCTTCATTTTTTGTGTCGGGATTGTCCCGAAATTCGGGACAAAACCGGGAGTCGCGCAAGACTCCCGGTTTTCTCGCGAAATCTCATTTTGTGGGCGGATCTCCGGCGGCACTTAACTGCGAATGTCTGAGATAATGTAGCGCCCATTGCTATCCTGAGGATCATTTTTCCTAGTACTTCGCCGCTAATCGGTTATTCTGTTTTAACTCCCGCACTCTACCCTCCTCTCCCGTACTACGACAAAAGTAAGCGCTTCTTTGACTGTCCTTGCTTTAGAGAGCGAATACCCTTATAGCCAAAGCAACAGCCATTCTACCACGTTAGGGTTGTTTCAGACTGCCGCACTGACTGCAGCAGACTGCAGCAGACGCAGCTGACTGCACTGACTGCAGCAGACTGCAGCAGACTGCAGCAGACTGCAGCAGACTGCAGCAGACTGCAGCAGACTGCAGCAGACTGCAGCTGACTGCAGCTGACCGCACTGACCGCACTGACCGCACCGGTCGCAGCCCCTTTTCTTAAAAGAAAAAACAACCGCGATTATCAAAACAGCATGATTTACGCATAAGAAGACCATAAGTTCCATCAGAATTCTCTCAATTAAATTTTGGCGATAGTTTTCTTTGGTATGTTCGTATTTGTTCTAATTCCTCCTATCATTGGATATACCTGTTTTGTAACATTCTAAACTGTGTTGTCTTTTGCTTTTACGTATATAGTGTTGTTGTTTGTTTGAACCACTATTAGCTATTTATCCTCTCCGCCTGCAGGCTTCAGCCGCTGCGGTCGTTGCGGTCAGTGCGGTCAGCTGCAGTCTGCTGCAGTCAGTGCAGTCAGCTGCAGTCTGCTGCAATCTGCTGCGGTCAGTGCAGACTGCTGCAGTCAGTGCGGCAGCATCAAACAACCCTTAAAGATATGTAATCCACAACTTGTGAGCCATTTGGATAACAGATTAATGAAAAAAAAAATCAAGGACTTCAGTCAATAAACAAAATTATGATGTAAGCTTTCAGATTGAAAGTCACGCTCATGCGGCTGGAATTCATGCCGGAGGTTCCAACGCTAGAGTGTGGCACGCAATTTGAGACAGCTTGTAACTTAGCGATTGGCTCAAACAGAATATATAGGATCTACATCTGAACGCTTTCGACCTTGCTTTGATGACGAAAGTTCACAATGGATCGTACTGCTCTTGTTTACATAAGTGTAGGAATGGTTCGGCAATAGCTGCTGATAAGCTTCATTCCCTTACTGAGAGTGCAACAAATCAATAAATCGATAGAAGGACCCAGCGAATTGTCGAAAAAAGTAGCCTATCTTTTGCGCCGTTGCTTGTTTATAGGGAAACAAAATTCAGCCTCTTTGGTTCACATACAAAGGAGTCTATAAGCCACAAACATCCTAACAAACACGGTACAGTGTTTGAGTTTTATATATATATATAGATGTCTACTGATTCACCTCTGTTCAAAGCTAGAGTCCAATCAAAAACTGAGTCAGCAAGGTTGGTGGCTGTGGAAGACCCTGCCATGAACCCATGCTGACTGGGTGGAATAGTTTTGGTTTTTTCAAGCTATGTAAGTAGCTTATCCTGCAGAACCTTCTCCATTGCCTTTATTGCTGTTGGAGTCAAACTGATGGGGCGAAAATCAGTCAGAAAAGATGCATTAGGAACTTTGGGAATTGCCGTTACTAACGCTTCTTTCCATATCTGTGGAACCTCGCCTAACATCATAGATATGTTGAATATGTGTGCGAGTGGGACGCAAAGAGATGATGCACATTTCTTGAAAAGAATCTGCGGTATCCCGTCATAGGCTTCAGTGAAAGAAGGTCTAAGTTTGATCAGATACCTCAAAACATCATAGGAGGTGAAAAAAAAACACTCGAGAGGCAATGGTGATAAACGGGAGTGGGTGTGAAGAAGTCCATCTCGGAAATACGAGTACTCGAATTGAATACACTGGCATAGTGCAGCGCTAGAGCTTCAGCTTTTTCGCAATCTGTGACAAATGTTTGACCCATTCGACCAGTTATGGATGGCAGACGACGATTACGTTTGATTTTGTCGTTAATATATTGAAAAAAGAATCTAGATGAGGATTTCATAGAAAGCCTTCGCTCGTAATTGGACAAGAATTTTTTCAGATGAACCTCAACATCACGACACACTTTTTTATACATGGGGCTAGATAATGAACTTGCCAGAGATAGAATAGGCGTTCTTTTTGTGCGAGAAGATTTTGGATGTGCATCGGGTATCTCATCTGAGCCTGGGTAGCAGGCTTGAAAGGCACAAAAACCGACAAAGCATTATATATTACCAAACAAAATCTGTAGTAAACGTCGTCAGTCGATTCATACTGGTCAAACAGATTCAACCAATCAACTGTGGCAAGATGGGCATTGAGAGAAACAAAATCAACCCTCCGAAAATCGGGTCTAGGTAGAAAGAGCGCAAGAGGGATACTTTTCTTTATAATGAAATGTACTACTTTATGATCAGAGTTTGCAAGGGGAGCAGGAGTGCGAACACCAGAGATGATAGGGCTAGTGGAAAAGACAAGATCTAAAACATGGGATAAATGGGTTGCCTCCATAACATGTTGCGTCAAATTCGAGAAACGAAAAAATTCAAGGAAAGTAGACGAAATCTTGTTCAGAGGCGTTACTCTGCTCCAATCAATTTGTAAATTAAAGTCACCCAAAAGAATGGTGTGTTCATACTCATTGGTGAGATGACACATCAATTCGATGAGGTGTTCATCACTTTCAAGGGTACTATTGGGAGGTCGATAAACCGCAAGGAAACGCAAAAATGTAGGTTCACTAGAAAGCGACCTGTCAATACCGAGCATATTCGACATAGTGCTACTATCCGAAAAAGTTGATTTAATCAGAAGAGTGCTTTTCAATAGGCAACAGACACCTCCGCCTCTACGGTTATGTCTATCTGAACGAGAAACAAGATACGCTAAGTTCCCTACTATTTCGCTATCATTGACTTTGCTTGTCAGCCAGCTTTCAGTAATAAAAAGGATATCGGGTTTATATTGATTCAAAAAACTTTGTAAATGATGGAGTTTTTTTTAACAAACTTCTTGCATTCAAAAGGCAAACCTTAATTCCGTCTTGAGCACCATGCGAAACTATGCGTTTTCCGACCTTGGCCTACTCAACTCTGATGCTCGCACCAACTCGCCCCTATAAACCACCCATTCACGGGTAGGTTTATTTTTATTTCTCTCACGCGCCATTTTCCTCAGTTCGTACTCATGCTTACGCTCGTCCTCCGTCATGCTTTTCCGTATATATACGTTTGGAAAAGCATGACGGAGGAAACGAGCGTTAGCCAGCGCCCTCCTCCAGTAAAAACTGGAGGGCATTACGACTTTAATCAGGCGCTGATGCGAGTCGCTCCTCTTCCCCATCCAGAACACCTCCGAAGGGGTGCAGTTGACGTCCACAGCGTCGAGTATATCTCCAACCTTATCTTGGAGATACGCCCGACGCTGTGACGGACGCAGCCCCTCCGGAGGCTCTTGCACCCCGCTTATCACCAGGCTTCTCGAGCGCTTCTCAGCCTCGAGTGTTTCGGATAGCCCTGCAGAAATTTTTTCAGATAATGCACAAAGCATTCTCTGAATAGTGGGATCCTTATTTAATGCAGAAATAGACGCTATTAGATCCTGCACGGACATCCCACTATAATCATCTCCCTGGATCCCTGCATCATTGCTGGTTTCACCCCATTGTGCAGGTGCTAAAGTTTGCGATGCTCCTTTTGATCCCTGAACTTTTTGCGAACGTGTACGAGGAGACATCGTTTGATCTACAATATTCAATACCAGGACAGGACAACCAAAAAATAATAGCCTAACCAGCCGAAGGTGAAACCGGCAATGAAAAATACGATAAACCGAAAAACAGAAACCGAAATAGCAGTAGAACCTGGATCGAGGTAGGAGTAAGTCAAAAGGAATGAACAAAAGCGACTTAAATGAACACGAAAATCAACAAGCACTCAGAGAGAAAACAAAACGCCGCCGCTCGTCAACACGACAGATCGAAGGATGACAAATTTGAAGCACGCCAATATATACTACTACTGAGACCTTTTTTATATATCTTGGCATACGTGCTGCAAATGTCAGTATACCCATCTCGCTTGCTACTAGCCTTCCGCTACATATGAGAATAAAATTTTGAGGGATACAGACCAAGTACGGAAAGTGCACTTGCCGAAATCGCCAATTTTTCCCTCTCGAAAAACTTTGCTTCAAGAAGCCTACAGCACTATACAACAGGGAGATCTGATGCTCCGAAAACGCACAACAGCTCTTGTAAAGTGAAAGTGGCTCTTTTGAATAGTACACGTACTTTGCCTCAAACCAACCGCTTCATTACAAGGCTACTATTAGGTCGCAAAGAAATTCCCGGGCACTTGCGAAATTTTTTTTAATCGCTGTAACTTTAAGCAAATTAATTCTTTTTTGAAGCTACAAACTTCATTGCAAAGATGGTTTTGTCCACAACAACTATTTATCTTGCTGGCATTTCAGCACCTCACTGCGGTCCACCAACATGCACAGAAGGGGAGAAGGTCGTCGCGAGTGGCCTAATTGTGCAGGATTATCTTAAGCACGATGAAAGCTGGAGAGTTCAAATACTGTAGTTATACAGAAGTCTGCTATGGCTGTTGTGGAGACTATTTAAGCCTCTGAGCGACCACATGCAAAAGGTTTTTCAGAAAGTTTGAAAAGCCGATCATTTTTTGCACTCAAAAATGCACTATTTTCTAAGTGACTTTAAGGTCTTGTCGTTCTGCATAAGGTGGACCAGATCTTTGATTACTCCAAACATTGCTGGACCAATGCCTTACACATATTTTGGATCCATCATCCAGGCGTGGCAATCCCCGTAGAAGAAACGCCAGCTGCAAAAAGAGTTGCGGTCAGAGGTAAGTTCGACATCATGTAATTTCTGAGCGTGAATCGCAAAACAGCTGCAGGTCAGAAGTTAACAGGCTTCTCAATCAGACCAACCATGGTTTGGACGAAGTTCTTATTGCACTAAAAAATAGCCGTAGGAAGAAAAATTGTGAAATTTTTATGGTTGGAAAGATTTTTCTTCCTGGTGTGCAGATCAAACACGTCTAGGCTCGATAAAAATCAGAAGCGAGTTTGAGAAGTTTACGCCTCGCTCTACAGAACACTATACAATACTTGGTGTCAAAGTCCGACCGAGCGCCAAAAAATGCGTTTTAAAATAAAATTTCCAAAAGTGCCCCGGAACTTTCTTTACAACTTAATAGAATGAAAACTCTGTGAACTTATGAAACCAAGTAGTTTGGTTTTCGAGTAAAAAGTGAAAAAACTTCAAAAGTTCCGCAGTGTAGTCTCGAAAGACCTAAAAAATCATTTGCACTAACCAAGACCTGCTTCTTCTTGACTTCATCAAACTTTTTCGAAAACTTAGGATTCAGGATTTTTAATCACTCAAAGTCACCCAAAACAAAAAAGGAAGTTCAAAATTTTCAAGAATTTTTTGACAGCCATGAGGGAACTTCAACCTATAATCTTCTGACTTCATGCTAACAAAGTTCAGTGTATTTACCTATCATTATCAAAAAACGTTTGCGGGAACGTGAAAGAGAGAGAAAAGTTTTGATTAATATTTTGACTCAGCAATAAAACCGACATCATAGCTACCGATGGGCTATGTGAGAGGAGCCAGGACATGGCGGCCAACTCATCCAGATTCTCAAGATATTTCTAATAGCTTTCTAATTTGCAATTCCTGTGGCAGATAAAGAAAGCATTGCAGATAGGGGGGTAAAGAGTAATTCATTGGCTGTTGAACCTGAAAATCAGTTCGCGAACAAGAGGAATTAGGTCATTAATGGTGCGCTGCTTGCTTTGTCTCGGATTTCTTTCTAACTGTTAACGAATTGAAATATTATTTCGCTCGAGTAATGAAATTGCAAAAACCCTTGCGTCTCTAGGCTAAATATCATGAAAGGCCTTTTTGGAGGAGACGCTCATGGAAGCATGGGAAAACCCTAATTGTCATGCTTTTATTGAAGCTATACCATGAAGACAGAAAAACAGTTAGTGGATTATGAAATTGAGATTGATGTCTTGCAGCCAACGCCGAGATTGTAAACTATGCCGGGATTAATTGAGAGTCGTACATGCAATTATAAAATTGTTTTCCTAAATTTGAACTAAGAATCCCGTTGCTCTACCATTATACACTTTAGTACCTTATGATCTGGGTTTCACTAATCCAGAAAAAGATAATGCTTTTTTGAAAATCTCACACAGATCGTGTTACATTGAAATCGGAGACTCATTGTTTTTATCTAGATGGTCAGGAGCTACTTAAAGAAATGTTCAGAAGAAAAAAGGGATATCAAATTAATGTGCGATTGTAGAAATACGCTGGAGGCACGAGAATGAGTCGCGAAACTAATAATTGAAATAAATGTTCAAATTTTATGAAAATTCGAATCAACTTGGTAAAAGAATTTCTTCGGATGCGTGGCGAGTGCCTACCTCCACGTTCCTTTTTTTTAGATTTTAGGGGATGGGCCCACAACGATGGCCAAGCCGCGCATCTTTACTTAACAAAAATTTTTGCCCCCCCCCCCCCCCCGGACGGAAATCCTGGGCCCTCCACTGGTTGAAGGTGAATAAAAGGTTCAAGCGTGCTTCTTTCATCACTTGTTACGATAAATCTACCATGAAAAACTGCATCCTTCACCAATGATATATCTGCAGTGGTAGAAATATCCGTTGTTTTTTTTCGTTTTCAGGCGATCATCGCGAGCAACTGGCATTTTGTGGTAAATGCCATCTCTCTCGACGCTGCAGGTGTCTGTAGGCTATACGGAGATGACGTGTTGTCTATGTATAGCAATGATTCAAGCATATTTCGTTATCATTTATATTGTTCTAGGCGCTGCTACTCGGCAGGGGAGATGATTCGCCGGTGCCGAGGCGGCAGCGCACTTTGCTTAGTGTCTCCTCTTCCTCTAGCTGTCTTAGGCGTCGCTATACTAAGGAAATAATAATTTGCAAGTCACTCCTTTTGAAATCCATTACTGCTTCAGATACTCCAAATATCGTAAACTTTAAATACTTCAAAAAAAAATTTCAAATGCTGTCTATTCCTTTTTTTTCATAGAGGCGCGATACAACTGAGGACGAAAATCGATTTTCAAAAATTTTCTTTTCATTTAGACTGACTTATTATAGTGTTTTTGTTGTCTTCTCTCATGTTCAGGATTTCTCTAGTCGTAAGCACGGCGATAATTCTGGGTTTGGTCCCATGATTTCTGCCATAAAATTGCGGCAGCACATTCATATATGAGAAATGCAGCAATTCCATTCTCAAAATAGCTACAGGGCAGTCCTAGTCAGGATCACTGGCATGTGGGACAAAAATTGAGCACTAGAGATTTTTATTTTTATTCTTGATGAATAATATATCATTTATATTCTTTTTGTTGTGTGTATCAGTTGGTTACTATAGACTGAATGACGAAGCAGGAGCAGAATCGAAAAAAAAAGTTTCTTCATAAGAGCGAACTTCTATTTGTCAAGATTTCGCATCTCCGATACTAGCTTACCAACTCTATTGTATCCGACATTTTAGATGGAAGCGATCGAGGAAGTGTTCCAGTTTTTTGACACCAAAGGGGACTCAAAAATTGCTGCATCTCAGGTAGGCGGGAAATTTTGGTGCCACTGATTTGAAAATTTGTCATGTTCTTAGATTGGCAACTGTCTTCGCTCATTGGATCTCGTACCAACGGAAGGACTTATTGAACGTATGACACAACAATGGAAGGACAAACCTGGTAAGCATAAGACTTCACAAATTTGTCATCAAATTGAGACTGTCTTGCTAAATTGATCTTTCCTCAAAAACTCTCAATAGAAAGATAACCATGACCATAACCATAACCATTATCATGCACGAATATTCACCATGCCAAGATTCAGAAACTACCGAATTTGGAATATTTAGAAAGATAACCTTTGTGTCGGCCTACTGCTTCACGCCTTGCTACCCTTCGTAAGAAACAGTTTGAGTAGAAAAAGGTATTTTCCAGAAGCTCGTGTTTCAATCGAGGAATTCCTTCCAATATTTGAAAACGTTCGAAAAGAAGCTGGTAGACCACCTAGCGTTGAACAGTTCCAGGTTCTTCCTTTTTGAGCCACTCAAACATATGCTGATGTAATTCTTTCTAGAATCTTCTCTCTCATTTCGATCGTGATGGAACCGGTGTGGTGATGTTACCGGATCTTCGCTATATGCTTCAGAACTCCGGTATGTTTACGACTATGTTGGTGAAGTTCATTATACTCGTTTTCGAGTTAAGTGTGCTGTTTTATGTGAGCGTCTATCCGGACATGAAGTTGATGCCTTACTACGCGATCTGGAGATTGTTGAAGGAAAAGTGCCCATCAATGAATTCATACACAACATCATGTCGTGAGCAGAAGCATGGCCGGTTACGAAAGAGGAAAAAGCGTCATCTTTTCCGCCTACCCTTGACTATGCGGAGATAAAACTCAGAAGCATGTTCTGCTGTTCAGTGTAAATGGAAAGTCGCATCAACGCAAGTTGTCATGTGAACTTCTCTGAAACGGTCATCCAATTTGGTCTAAGCTTATACCTTAGATCCGAAACTTGTGCATTCCTTCAAGGTGAAGCTCCTAAAGTATAAAGGATATATGAATCGGCGTCCTTAACACCCTCTGCGAGCATGATTCTACTTCATAGTCGAAAAGATTAACGAATGCGTGAAGGCATTCTATAGTGACTTGCGGGGGCCAGCAATTACCAAATCGGTACTTTTATCCTCCCAGATTACTCTGTTACCAATTTACGGTTCTCAGGAGGAAGAGGGCTTGACATCGTAAGAAAGGGATCAAATTTTGGGCCGACCTGGTCATAGCGGCGCCTCATACCTCTACGCCACTCGTCTCCAGTGAAGCTGCTAGCACCAAGAACTTAGCATGTTCCTTTTTTCCATTTTCCCACTTTCCGTTCTATATTTCGCAACAATTTTTGAGCGCGCCCAAGCAACCAGCCGACTAGATTGTTTGCCTGAATTTACTGCACAAGAAGACTTATTTTGTGCAGTATAGTTTCCACGGATAGCGCATAGGGTAGTCATTTGGCAACAGGTGATCATAACTGAGAACAGCTAAGAAGGGAACAAATATCCTACTTTGAAGGAAGTGTCGGGACAAGGTGGGGGAGACGAATTCATTGCACAGCGCGGTAGCAGCCTCCCCCCCCCCCCAAAAAAAAGCTATCACCAAAGCGCGATGTCATGATTTGACAAAAACAAAAAACGCTCTGAAAGAGATCCACTGCACGCCTGAGTTTTCCGTCCAGTTAACGAGCCACGCATGCATATTAATTCTGATTGAGACCAGCAAACATCTCTGCACTCTTCACACTATCTATTCAATGCAATACTCTTCCACTCCGATCTGTCCTCTGGCTTCCTCATAGAATGCGGGAAAGCTCCCAGTTGACGACGCTTCAGGCAATTTGTAGCCAGTATTCTTGTTCAGTACCACAGTGTAGCCCAATAAAAACAGAAATTCCTAGTTCGGCAACTTGGATAGACGCTGCTCCTTTTACCCACGCCTATAAAATGCCATTTTTAGGCAATTTTAAGCATCGCAATTTTCGAGTGCCGAAGTTGAGAATCCAGCCTATCTAGCACCGATTAAGATGAAAGCAGCGAGGTACTTACACGCTTATATCTTTCATGCTCCCTCATTGAAACCCTATGAACCTCCACACAGACCTTCGCTCACAAAACAGGCTAAGAATTTCAAGAAATTTTATTGTTGAACGGGACTGTAGTACCCCGAAAGTCGAAGCGTGGTCGTAACCGATCCGAACAAGCTACTTGCGCGGCGCGACCACGCGTTGACCATAAAGTGTCGCGCCCGCCCGTCGTCGAATACGCATTGAAAAACTTGTGAGCACGCGCCGTCACTGCGCGATATGTATAACGTTCTGTGGTAGGGCCGCATGCATTTACATTGCCGCCCAAGGAGGCCGTAGCTTAAGGCCGCAGCTCGAGCATACCTCACGCGATTTCGGTGGCGATGCGATCTGGCAGCAATCCAACGGACTATAAGGCTCCGGCCAGATTTCGCTCAGAAACGCCCAAAAGCACCAAAATCCTCTAATTCTCTCACTCTTCTCACACGAAAAAGCGAAGAGACATTAAAGAAATTTGGGCGTTTTTGACGCTTTTGAATGCTTTTGAGCGCACTTAAGCGAAGTCTGACCGAGGCCTAAGTGATCGTAAGCGCTTGCGGATTGTACGGTATACAGATTTCATCCATCTGCAGCAGTTACACACGCTATTTATCCCTCTGCCAGTGTTGGGTTTGAAAACAACTGGCAGATTGTCAGATCGCGTGGCGACCGAAATCGAATGAAGTTTGCCGGAGCTGAAAGAAAGCCTCATACCGAAGCTTCAGAAAACCGGGTTCTATCCAGATTAGATAGGCAAATGAAATCTTTTGGGGCTTTAGGTATGAGGCTTTCTTTCAAACTACGATCCCCTCTCCGGTGGAGATGCTAGTGCATGCGGCCCTAAAGAACCTTTGTACTTAGAATCGCATGCAGAGAATATCGTCAATGTATTGAAAAGTGAATGTAGTGGACAATTACCAATCAATTCTGCACGAATGTATTGGCCACCAGATGGTTGTTTACTCGGATGTTAGGAAACAGTTGGTTTACAATCTATGGCTGTCAAAAAAGAGCAGCAGATGCGGTGAAAATCGCATAAATTGTAAAGTATGAAATTATGCAGAAGAAAATCAGTGAGCAGATGAGCCGCGAAAGCCGTGAAAAAACTCTGAGCTGGAATCCGCCTAAAGACGTTGGTCGAGTGAGCTATATAGAACTCCTTTATAGAAAATACAGGTAAGACAACAATACAACTCACATAGAATGGATCTTGAATCTTGCCACTAGAGCACTGATCAGCAGTAGACTTGATTGTAATTCATGTCCATTTCAAGCTTGTACGTACGTCTATATCGATGGTCACTTCGACCGCAGAGATGGCCGAGCTTTGATCTTTTGGTGGTCACATGACTTGCTTGCGTCTCATGCGCACTATTTTCAGTCCTTCTTCCTGAGGCACACGACGATCGCACGCGGTCGCGCCTGGTGCGACCCTCTTGAAGTCACGTCGGGCATGTTCCCTGGCCAAGCATATGTTGATTGTGACAAGTTTCGACCTACCTAAGCGTGCTCCTAGCGCAATATCACGACTCAAAGGCAACGTCCGGGCAAAATGCCGAATGACATTCCTTCGCTCATCTAGGCTTATACTTTCCGCTGATTCCAAAAAAAGCGGCTTGCAGAATACGAAAATGTCAAAAACTAGCTGTTTCAGAACTCCTGATTTTGAATTGAGACGCCTGCCGCCGAGGTTAAGACGGAGACTAGTGGTGGGACCTCTACTTCTCAACTGTGTACGACACGTAGGATACAGCGTACGCACGTGCGATACATACGCTCTACGTCGCCGAAATGGCGACCTCTCCGCCAAGACCTCCCGATACAGTTGTTGCCCAGCTTCCCTGCTATAAAAGCAGGGGGCTGGGAGTATTATGGTGTGTTTCGTATCTATTCAGTTTGCACCCTGTCCGGATAAAAAGGACGTCGTTGTTGTATTCCCAATAAACTCATTTCATTCCAAAGTCTGAACCATCGCGACACATCTGGCTTATCGATTTATCCCTTGGTGCGCGGAGTCCTCCGATTGCGGCGTAACTCTTTCACCTTCCGAAGAATTTTTGTCGCTTTTGTTTCCGCAAAATGTGCCCCGACTGGACTGGTGGATATGATAGAGAGGCTATTTTTGCGCGACAGTAAAATCGAAAACTCCCAACCTAGTCCGGACACTGCCTTTAAGGTGGAGAAGATTAATTACAAACCTTGATTTTTGCGATTTGGCTGCCTAAAAGCTCAAAATATTGGGCATGAGCTGGAACAGTTGGGACAAAGACCAAGGAGATACTTTAAAACATGAACATGCATGTAAGTGACCTCGCAGATATACTCGAATATTTCTTACAAACTCGCAAAATTCCAGTGTAATGCCTAATTAAACGGATGTAAATTTTCGTTAGGCTAAACTGAATTTTCAAAATTTTGAGATTATTTCAATTATTTACACGTGTGAACAAGTCACTTGCACATTATTATAACCGATGTAATTGATTTTAGAAGCTTTCGCAAGCCATTTTTAGGGGGGGGGGGCACCTCTCCCCCTCCCCCCCCCCCTCCCCGTCCTTCTCCCACTCCTCGGTAAGTCAGTGGTATGTATGCATCAGTGGTGGACACAAGATTTCGGACCGGGGAAGGGGCGCGCGACAAAAAAATTTTCTGAGTAACCAAAAAAATTTTGGGATGATTCCCAAAATTTTTTGTAGGCCCACAACCCCAAAATTTTAGAAAAAGGGGACGTGGCGTCAGCCGCGCCCCCGAGAAAAATTTTTTATAAAGCTAAATTGAATTTTTAAAAAATTTTAAAAATTGTTTTAATTACTTACAAGTATAAATAAGTCTTTTGCACATTTTTACGACTCACATAAGTCACTTTCAAAAATTTCGCGACCCATTCTCGGGGGGGGGGCCCACCCCCGTCCCCCCCCCCTTCCATCGGTACGCCACTGGTATCATGTAATGTATACATGCATGTCTGTTTTTGCAAATGAGCTACGGAGCCGGATTACACATGGGGTGGGTGAGCATGTTCTCAGATAATCGCCGGGGGCAGGCGGGCACCGGAAAAATAGATTGCTGATCTCTCGCACCCCGCTCGCGGATTTTTTGGAAAGCAATCGGGACTTTTCGGAAGACGGCTTGCTGAGTCAGCGGATTTTTGAGAGACCGCCTGTTGATTTTTTTTCGCTCTTATCTTTTGCAGATATATTGCTAAATCTCTGAGGAATCGAGAGCTTAGCAAGCGGCCTTCCGAAAAGTTCTGATTGCTCACAACACAATCACATAACAGGATATAATAACAATTTTCAAATTATTACTAACCTTCATCGATTTTATCAGCTTTTTGCATATTTTAAGCCACGCGGCTTTGAGTTGGCACAGGCGGTGAGCTGCTGATTACATTCATAATAACCTCTCAGAGAAATACTCATTGATGCCATCCTTTATCGAGCTGCGGAGCTGTTTAGGACAGGTGAAAGTGAAAATGCTGATAAAAGACATAGTGAGGCAAGGATAGGAGCAGAACAGGTACAGTGAAATGTTTTATAAAAGCAAGCGCAAGCAAAAGTACTCTTTATTGTGATGCATTTAGACAGTCGACGTCGAATTTTGATTTTTTTGCACAGCGCTAACTTCCTCTACAGGATAGCCGGTAAGTATGGGCGTTGCAATATGTAATATATCTTTTTCCTGAAATATTCTGTCATGGCGGCTAATATGCCTTTAGATTGTGGACAGCCTCTGTATCAAGATATGTGAAAATCACGCTAACTGAAGTCTTCTGATGCACAAACGGGATCCCTGAATCTACTTCTTCCTGAAAGGCGTGCGGCGCGTCCAGTTAACACCATATTTATAGTGCCATGTCTTATTTTGGAGAGGAGAATTTTTTACTGTTACGGCATTATGTTATTCCTTGGACTGTGCTCTACAGAACCTCAAGTCTTAGAAACTTCTCGATTGATTAATTGGATTATTTCAGGGGATTCGCAATGGATACATTCTTCAAGTAGCATTTTTGACGCATCAACTTCAAAGTAAGCTGCTGAAGTCTTTATACAGGGTGTCCCAAAAAAATGTGCCTACTCTTTGATTGTAAATAACTCTCTTGCAATGAAGTGTTTCGAAAAGCTTTAGGTACCGTTTTGTAGAGCGAGGTTATACTTAGATTTACAGTATGGAGCGAATCATCTATCGCTCTTCATTACTGTAAGATTACGGTACGAACTTCGACAAGGATTTTTGGCCATTGAAGGTTATATTCTGCCTCGGAACAAAACCAAACAACCCAGAAACTCTTAAATTGTGGCAGTGAAAGCCGCTGATTTCGAATCTAAAATTCTGATTTCACCGTAATGCTTCTTTCCAAAGTTATCCCCGGTAAATCGTAATAATTCAATTCCCAGCATTTGTCCGAATGTAATTACACCGTCAAGAAAGCTGAAAACGCTCGTAAAAAGTTGTTAGGTGGAATCAGCATGCGGGAAAAACCCAGTACACGATTTTTCAGATTTTTTGAAAAAAATTTTGTTAGGTGGTTTATTTCACATTGATTCCATATGCTGCAAGTTCTTACCGTAATCCTACAGTAATGAAGAGCGATCGATGATTCGCTCCATACTGTATATCTAAGTATAACCTCGCTCTACAAAAAGGTACCTAAAGCTTCTCGAAACACTTCATTACAAGAGAGTTATTTACAATCAAACAGTAGGCACATTTTTTGGGACACCCTGTACATGTGCTTGAACCCAGTCTTGCAGGAGTAACACATTAAGATGCCTGTGCTTTTGCCATGCAAAAATAATCTTACAGAATTTCGTTTGCTATGATAAATCATTATACGAAAAATGTGACGGCCATACTTTTCGGCCGCCCTGTATAATCAAACTATGACGTTGATGTTGCTTACAATTCGAACTAGCGAGTTGTTATCGAAATTATGAGTAGGGGACTATATGTCGCGGTAAGTTCCACACCACGCTGGCAGCTGGTATCTATGTATGCCTGTAATGTGTGGCGCTGTGCGCTCTGTTGCAGATGTCCGCATAGGATCACCCCTTTCGGCACATATGGTCCTCTCCCAAAATTTATGTGCATGAGGGTTGAAAAGATATTTCGAAGTTATGTCAGAGCAGTAAAAATTGGTGAAACAAAACAAAAAATCTCGTTTTGATTTGACAACTAGGTCTGATCAGGTGAGATGGACTCATCTGCTCCCTCTCTTCATTTTCAGCTAAGCTTATGTCAAGCTAGTTTTGGCAATCATTGCTTAAAGATGGATAGATATTCTTCTTTGTAACACTTTTAGCTGAGGTCAACCAGGACCACTTCATTGTTTTATTTTATTCCCTTTTTGCATACAACAGACGTATTGATCTAATAAATTCCGATTAGCACTTTTTGCAAGCATTCCAAATGGTTTGAGCTAGGCACCTTCGTCATCATTTTTGGCTAGTCGGAGAAGACAATCTGCACATATCCTGAACGATAACCTTGTGGTAGTACAGGTATTATTTGGTCCCTGAGCAATTGCAGTTTTGTCTACTCTGCACTTGATCGTCGGAAATATGCACTTTACACTGCAACGAGCTTGCAATGTCAACACTGCTCTCGGAGTTTGGGATCTTCTTGCATTTCACTTCTTCCCTCAAAAGGCTTACTTTTGAAGTTTCCAGGTAGTATACTCACGAGTATGTTTGACAACTCTCCGTTGTAGCATTTCAATTTTTGATAAAGTACGGTGTAAAGAGGAATGCGAAGATAAGACATTAGGAAAAATGTAATGATGTTGGAAAATATTTCGAAAAAAGTGACAATCATATGTCTACACTCACTTCACCTTAAACGAAATCTCTAGTGGTCTCTTCCACATGAAGATTTCCTTTACATTATTTATCTCTGTGTGTAGAAATACATACACAGCAAAGCTTCCTCCCTTTTTATCTCTCCTCTTTTCAGACACTGAAATCCGTCAGATACGTGCTCGGTTGCAGGAGCCTTAGTCTTCGAACATCACAACCTGAGTGATGGAAAGACGGATATTGGAAATGTAGATAGAACAAGCTGTAGAAACTTACCTGTTCTATAACTCACACAAACATTCCAGGACCCACTTCGGGAATGATCACTTAAGATTCTACAACTCCCAAGAATTCAAGATCTACCCTAAGGAGCAATGTACTAATGAAAACTTTTTCAGTTCTTTATAGGCGGGACAACAATACCCTACATACTCCATATGACAAATGGGAAATCCCAAAAATTACAACAAACTGTGCACTCATGATCACTATATTCTCACAGTTTTACATCTTACATATAAAGCTGTACGTCTGTTGTGTGTGTTGTGTGTGTTGTGTGTGTATCTGTTGTGTGTGTTGTGTGTTGTGTTTGTTGTGTGTGTTGTGTGTTGTGTGTGTTGCGTGTGTTGTGTGTGTTGTGCGCGTGTTGTGTGTGTGTCGGTTATGGGTGTGGTGTGTTGTGTTTGTTGTGTGTGTTGTGTGTGTTGTGCGCGTGTTGTGTGTGTGTCTGTTGTGTGTGTGTGTGTGTGTGTGTGTGTGTGTGTGTGTGTTTCTGTACTTATGTTCCAAACAGAAAATTCCATTTCTCAACCGATCCGGACCAAAGTTGACACATACACTTCGGGGCGGGGAGGGTATCATAGGCCTAGTTCGACATCGATCGATATCGATATTATCAATTTTGAACCATTTTTTGCAAATTTTGAGCTACGGGGCTGGGAGTTGACATAGGGAGGTAAATGAGCATGTTGAATGCTAACACAGCGGGAATAGGGAATTGGCATGTAGAAGTGAGCACAGAGAAAGGTTGTATAGGGATATGGATGAGAGCTTTATCATAGTGTTTTGACAGGGCCGAGCGGAGCTGGGCAAGCCAGCTAGTTCCCTAGTAAAACCCACTTGTACGCGACGTCTTCCTTGACTTACAGGGCGCCCAAAATTACCGGTACATGTTTCCTTGGGGTGCCAGAAGGATACAAGGCGGGCTTGACGACGGTGCAAGCATGCATCTGTTTTCACAAAACATTATCATCGTGATGCAATAGTTAAATCAAAATTGCTTTATCTTTCGATTTTCTGAATCTTCGCAACAGCCAGAGTGCGCTCTGAACGCATGCAAAACATTTAGTATTTTACACCATATTTTTGAGAATCTTTTCTTAAATTTGATATTGAGCATCAAAGTAGAGCAAGCCTTCGCCTTTAACATTATGTAAGGAACTTCAAAAATGTTTTAAAGATGGGGGTTTATCAGTTTTTCAAATTATGCTTATTGTTAGAGGCTGTATATCGAAAATCAGTGGTTGTTTGGCCCTACTGGGTGTGCCTGAGAACATAAGATGATTACTCGCATGCATGCAATTTTCGCAACTACATTTTTATTTTTCGTAAAAGAACAAATTCTTTTGAATACAACCAGGACTATGTGGTAATGCAAAGTATGCTCTACAAACCCAGCTAGGTATGGTTCAAAAAGACTTTGAGTTCATTTGCAGAGCAATGTATAAAGCTATACATATACCATTTGCTTTCTCAAAACTGCCGTGATCCTTTTAATCCTCACATTCTTGAAAAAAGCGGTCTTTTTAAATTCTGTAAAATGTCTCTTGTAGGTGACAAGGCAGACATATATTGAGCTTAACTTTATTTATCAGTGGTTTTTTCGTGGGAGTGTTGGGCCGGTAATTTTGGCGCACTTTGTACAATCTCGTCCATAACAACTATGACCAAAGCCAACAACTATAGCCTTATTCTCATTTCTAACATATTGTTTAGATAGCAAAGACATCTCTGGATGATATGTAAAATTTCGATGTACATGCTTTCTCGGTGTAGAGCTTCTAGTTTTGTTTGCCTTTGAATCTGAGCCGTTCCCGATGCATTGTTGTCCAGGAAACTTCATAATGCAATGACGGCACGCTTTGTACTGCTTATATTATAAAGATCAACAAAACTAACAACAAAAGATCAAAACAATGCCATAACGGAACAATTAACAAAGTTAACTTTTTTACAAATGGGTCCTTAACAATCTTTTGAACGAAGCCAGCTTAGGAACAAACACTCGTTCACGTATAAGTGTATCTACATCAGGCAAAACTCTGCATAGAAATTTCTTCATTGAGCTTAAATCTTGGGATAACCAATTTTCTTGTACCGCCCCTAGTTTTTGACATCTTAGTTGTAAAATGCGTAATACGATTCAATTCACAGTCTCCATAGAATATTTTATGGGCCATGATAAGGTCGAATTTTTTCCTTCTGCAGGCCAGTGTCATTAACCCAAGGTTTCTATTGCGGGTTCTACTGCTTGGAATCTGATCATAGGCAAACCCAGCAGTTCTAATAAATAGCTTAGGTGTGAAGCTATTTTGAACTTTCTTCAGATAATCGATACTTTTGCGCTTGTAGTGTTTTATATCACAGTGTCATATTCAAGCATAGGCCTTATGTAACTTTTATACGCATTTGAGAGGACTACCGGATCTCTTGATGAAAGCGCCCTAAACAGATTGTACACCGCCACTGTGCCCTTGTCAGCTATCTTTTAACAGTGGTCATCAAAACAAAAAAATTATTCTTGACCAGAAACCCTAAATCTCTGACCTCCTCAACAGACTCAAGTGAAGTTTCCCCTAGTGAATAAAGATATTAGGATTACTTACCCCAATGTGCATTACTTTTGTTTTTCCCTTCGAAATAGAAAGACCCCAGATCTGCTACCAGCAATAAATTTCATCCAGAGCACTCTGCAGCCGATCACGATCGGCAACATTCCTGGATGATATTTAAAGTTTCGATGTACATGCTTTTTCGGTGTAGAGCTTCCAGTTTGTTTGCCTGTGCATCTGAGCCATTCCCGATGCATTCGTTGTCCAGGGAACTTCAGCAATAACGGCACGCTTTGTACTTATAACATCAAGATAGATTGTCTAGTCGATGTTTTGAATGTGTGTTCAACAAATCATTATCACCTGCGTCTAAGATCATTTTTGCAAGCCCTAGATGGTTCACAAATCTGGTTTGTTCCTGACATTAGATACTTCAACACACTCTACCTAAGTTGTGTTCTTCTTGAGCCAATAAAAGATTGCTAGCACTTTTTGGTCAGGCTAACGTTTCGGTGCCGTCACCTTCGTTACAGCATCAGCAGTCTTCAGGTCTAGGACTGAGTTACCAACACACAGTCTACACAGTTAGTAAACACCCTACCTGGACAAAAGAATTAAGATAGCCATCATCATCAACCTGTTGCAAACTGGCACGTCAAGAACTTGCAGGCGATTAAAACATACTAAAATCCACTTGCCTTGTTTTCAAAATACAAGAAAGCATGTTGAGAAAGATAGTTCATTGTCATGAGCAGTATTGTACAGCAAGAAAAAAACACGCAAAAGTGAGTAAACAATGAATAAACGATGTACACAGGTGAACCCACCACGGGCATTTGCAGAAAAATTGCTGTATTCTAACTCATACAAACAGTCTTCTTCTTTCACTTCTCATTTGTGAAAAATACATCGACAACTCGATAAATGAAATGCTAAAGCAACCATCAAAAAAATCGCAAATAATGGGTGATCGAGAAAGGGCTTTGAAAGGAAAAGCACAAAATGTTCAGAAACACACGGGTGGAGATGGAATGGGTGGAGAAAGTCTGTGATCACGGACGTGCATCACATAAGAGGCTGGACGTAAAGCGACTGAGTAAGCAGGTGACGTCACTGATAATGCCTTGAGCTTGATGGATTTTTACAGAACTCAGAAGGGGTAGATCCCCAACGATCAAATGGCTCAAAGCTGACCATCAATGACGTTCAGATCATATAACGGCATTTAGATTCCACACATCACTATTCAGGGTACGACCAATTGTGCTGGGAGGGTGCAGACAGTTAGAGACGCGCACAAAACCCTGCGTCTCTACTCGTTGGTTGTATCGATGGGCATGGAGCAAAGAACATACAAGAATAATCAACAATGACATATATGCATCGGAAATTGTTTTCCAACCGAGGATGTGTGAGGAAAAATACATAGGAACTCGTCTTTGAACTACCTGATTCGATTTGATCTACAGTCATTAATTGCACAAGTTGCGGACTACCATAGTTCGAAATATAGCGTTCGTGCATACAACAGGGTCTTTTGTAGCAAATAATGCTTCCGATAGACAAGAAATTACACAACATCCGGCTATAAATCGCGGCGGTAGATCATCGCCTATAAACAAAGTATGTACACAATTGAAGGGTGCGCAAAGCGAAAGTATGGGCGTATTGTGTATGTGTGGAGAAGGACTCGAGCCGCGACAACTGAAAGACTGGCGGGAAATTCAAACATATAAAGAAGAAAAAAACGTTCGATCGCTAATGTAGCGGCATCACGGTATGCTGCGCATACGCTACGCATACATACACGCGAAAATCGATAAGTCGTCTACAATCGATTAACATTGTATAAAGAACACACAGAAAATTGAAGGGGAAGTAACAGGAGAAAGCTGCAAGAGACTGCAATTATTTCGGACACATAATGGCACATAGAAGCTTGAATTAATTATCGCGACAACGATAAAACGCGCTTACGCAACGCAACAGCGCGCTTGCATGCGCGAGCACAATGTCGACGTAGTTCACTCAGTCAGATCGATTTCCGTTTTTTACCATCTTCCCATTGATTGTCCTTCACCATATGTGCTAGTTCGATGATAAACTTCCCCTCCTTGTACTTTTGACTCGACTCAAAAGCATGTTCCTGAAAAATTCGAATATAAATTTACGATGGTAATATGCCATATAATTTACGAATCTTATGAAAATTATCAGCGATATGCAGCATGAAGACTGATTCTGTTTGGTATCAAATAGAAAGTCGTGAGAAAACATTATGCCAACCGAGCAGTCAATATTAAAGATTGTGCATGAGTTTATGACATCTAGAAAATTTATATGACAGCAATCAAAACGCTGCTTTTGCCCCTTTTTTCCAACTTCTCAGAATCTCTCACACATTTGCTGGGAATGTCTGACTTTATTAACCTTTTCGAGTTTCTCTTTTTCACAAATTTTGTCCTTTCTCCTACCACATCTTTCCCCTTCTCTGAACGCAGTCTATCAACGTGTTCCTCAAAATTCTCATTTTTTTCTTCATTTTCCCTCATTCCAAAATCTCCATTGTGAACTTCTCCCATCGGCCAATTCCGTAGATATTCACACATCAACACATAAGTAAATAATAAGGTTATTGGATATTTGATTGCATTACTGACGCGGAAGTACTGAGAATATATGATTCACTCACACAGTAGTGCGAATGATGGACATGGGCAAGTTTAGATGAAGCATAAAGGAGAGCTGCGTACGGATAGGAAGATAGGATAGATACCAAAAATAGACATTATTTCAAATAGTACGGTGAATGAGTATTTCGTTTATGAATCACGTGTCACCCAAAAATACTCGTTTGTTGGGTATAATGTCGCTTGCTATTAATGGAATCCATTTAATCTCTATCAACAGCTTCCAATATAAAATCTTCTGAATCACATGAAAGTCGTCAAAACACAAAGAAACAAAATACGAAGATTGTGCAAATGCTACAATACTTGTATTTTCAAAAAATCATGTCAAAAGTCTGCGATAGGGAAAAACCAATTATAATGTAACGTTATTGTTAGAAACAGGGCTCGGCAAAGGTGGCTTATAAGCAAGCTGGATATCGTTTTTGGAACGAAAAAAGCAGGAAATATCGTGGGTCCAAAATTAATTTTTTTTCACTCGACGTTACGTTTTCTTAGTCGAATCGGAGTTCGGATGAGGGCCAACGGGAACTTCGTAGAATTTTGCGAAAGTCGGGGGGGGGGGGACTTCATTTTTTGCGTTTTCGGAAAGCCACCCCGTGCCGAGCCCTGGTTAGAAATATAGCCCTAAGCACTGAAGTTGTCACTGTCCTCCACATTCTCCATTCTACATCGTGCGCAGTTTCGGGAATAAAAAATGAGGTCTATTTGTTGGCCAAAAAAATGAAGATTTCTAAAATCCTAATCAGACTGTCCTCTATTTTCAATATGATGTAACATTAACTAAGTTTATAAAAATCAACATGCTGGGGCAAAGACAAGTCAAGGAAATCAGGTAACAAACAAATTAGAGATTCTTGAAGGAATATAAGTTTCTGTTGAATGGATATCTAACTGTTGCACCACTAAATATATAAACAATTCGTTTTAAAATCGAATAAATTCATCTAGTTCCTGTAACATATATTAAAAGTTGTATCCCCATAGGTATCGAAGATTTTCAACTTGAAAGCAAAACGTTTGTTAAAAATATTTAAAAATTATAATATAAGTATCGTAGAGGCATCCGATTAGCACAAATTTCCTTCACATAGAAAAGCATGCCACGAAACTAAACAAAACTAAAATAGGAATTCAGTAGATGTTTTACAAATTTTACCTAAAGTTCAAAAAACTACTTATTAAGCGCTTTTCTCTAACAGCTCATACTATTGCGATACGGCAATATTTTGCTCGAAGTACTGTTGGGAAGTGGAATTTTTCCTGTGTATTGTGTACGAAAGTATATGATTTTATTGAAGTTGGGGAAGATTATGAATTTTCCAAACTTTCGGCGCAAAACTTACGCATCAACCTAAATACATGGTTCCTTTCCCAATCTACTCCCTCCGTTCAAACTTTCAAGTAAGCTCTTTACCCTACAAGAGGTTCGAACTCAAAACTTGTTTATGCTTGCTTTACTAGTTGAATGTGTCTCGCCAGCGGCTGTGCCATGTCAGGTGATTGCTCTATTTTTTGAGTCCGAGTTTGCACTATAGCGTAGTAGTGTCACGCGCTCTCCCATGTGATTCCAATAAGCCCCCGCAATTTAGAATGTGCCGGGCACAAAATTATTGTTGTTTGGTCGAAATGGACGGATAGTACAGCAATATCAGTAACGCATTTTAGTGATTAATTGCGTCCCCCCCCCCTCAATATTTGGACCGAAAGGACTAACGTCTGACTCGGGAAAGCCACAAACAGAATCCAATTTTGTCGGCAAGATTACCTTGTTTTCGTCCCCGGATGCGGCTTTCAATTTTGCCTCCACAGCTAGACACGAGTATTTTCGCAATTTTCAAGAAATCTGAACAGCTCTCAACGGCTGGCCGTGCGGCTCATTCACTAAGTGCTGTCTAACGATGTTTGTCGGTGCGAGCCACTGCCAGCCGTTTGCAAACGGCTCTCAACGCGTCCCCTGAGATTTTTGCTTTTGTGCCCCAGTCAAAGCTCGAATGGCTTTTTTCGCGGACTAGAACGCCTAAAGACGAGAAAAACACGAACTCGGACATTCTAATGCAAAAGTTCGTGCGCCAAAAATTGCTTGTCCTGACGCGGGCACATTTTGATGTAGAGCGCGCGCACGCGACGACAACGAACATCGCAGACGCAGACGCATAATTGATGATTGAATTGGAGCGCCGAATTTCCATTCTGATAGCTGTCTGCCCACAGTGCAAGGTCAACTAGTCTCTTTGAAGATACGACTAAGTGCAAATCATTAAAGCAAGGATAAATTATCCATTCTCTAGGGCACATCGAAAGGTTCATGTCAAATTACGATAAGTAATGGAATCAACAACAAAAAAGGAAGTTTAATGTAGAAAATGTAAGATAAAGTCAAAAACATACAGCGTATTGTTCCTCCATGTTAAAATACAAAATAAAACACAGAGAGTTGATTCAAAGCTATTTAATTAAGCAATTATTCAACAAAGCATTTTTAATGAAATTTTCTGGTAAGGAGGACTGTTCATAACCGTCCCCATTCCAGTGGACCCTGGTCGACGAGTTTGAATTAGCAGGCCGTTTGCGGTAGAGCGCGGCATCCTCAGCCCTCACGCCCTTGTCAGTCTGATTTGCCTTAGATAGTGCCGCGCTCTATGGCGAACGGCGTGCTCCAGTACAAACTTAAGATTGCCAACCACGTTTCTATTGGGTTGAGGAGTGCTATACAAACTTTTAACTATGTCAGTTTCAACGGCTATTATATTGATAAAAGCAATTGAGATAAAAGATAGTTGCTAAAAGAAGGTTATTACCGTACTACTGATACTATACATGCTCAAAGGACGTAATTACAGACAAGATTTCTGAATCTTGGTTCTGCACTCCAATGCAACAGCCTTCGCAGACGTTCATTAGCCCAAAGCAGCAGATTAGAAAACAGCTGATCCACCCAACATCCATGGAAAGCTCTTTATGCGAAAAATGTCTGCTGTTCTTGCGTCAACAACATCGCAAGCTTTCCCGAATGAGTACAGTAATTTCTCCCTACGTCTCAGCAGCACTAGCTTCTTCAGCTTCAGAACGCCAGAAGAGATTAATGTACATTCCCATTTTCCCAATGATGAAAAACGCGAGAGCGTAAAAAGATTACTACAATGGAGAACAATGGCAAGACGACGCACATTGTATTCGGTTTGCACTTTTGAGAGGGTATTCTGGGAAACGAACCTTTTTTCTCTCTCTCTCTCTGTTGCGAGAGTTGTCCTTACACAAAGAATAGAAAAAATGAGGATTGAGGAAGGAGGCAAAATATCGGAGTTCGAAAGTGGCCTCAGGAAAAAAATTGGGTGAGGAAATATTGTAAGGATCCACCTATGAGTTGGAAAGCAGGAATTCCAGAATTTGTTTTCACGTCCATTCTACCCCTTGCCCTTACTTGCCCAATCCCCACTCATTTTTTCTGCTATTGTAAATGGATATCAACTGAAAACGTTGGGACCAGAAAACTGTTTTCCCCTTAATTTTTGAAGTTACATAGAGGAGTTATAAAACTGCGCAAGTGACTAGAAATAATTCTTTAAAATTTTCAAAACTCTAAATCAGCTTTGTAGAAAACCTTTATCTTGGGGTGGTCACTTAATTTCTGTACAGCCCCTCTGCCCCCCTACCCTCTCCCCCTCCTTAAAAAAATCTTTACCGCTACTGGTAATCAGATATCCGATAAAAACGCGAGAATTTCAAATAATTATCATCCAACCTATTCTTCTTCCCCCCCCCCCCCCTCACTCAATCTTTTCCTCGTCCAATCTCTACCCTTTTTGCTAGTATTTCGAATAAATATTAGGTGAAAGAGTCAGAATTCCAGAAAGTTATTCCCCGACCATTCACTCCCCCCCCCTCAGTCTTCTTCTTCTTGCTCAAGCCCGGATTCATTTACCTGATATAGCCACATAAATAGAAATGAGATGCGTGAAGATACATAAAATTATTTTTCTCGCCCATTCTGCCCCCCCCCCCTTGTCCAATCCTTAGCATTTTTGGCTTGGGCACTCTCTCCCTTTACCCTCCTCATCTTCTCTCCCTGCCCTTTTCCTACTACTCGTTCCATCAAAACCATTCAAAATATACCAAATGTCGCCAGAACGATCCCTCTAACGAACGTCGCCGCTCGGACGAGTTATCGCGATGTTTTCCTGCTTTTCCCAATGTGCCATGCATATCGACTAGCTCAGCACAGCAGCACTAGCGGTGTGCGAAAGCACAACTAATTTGAGCAGCAGCAGTCCATGGCACAAGGCACAAGCTTTCACACCGTGTTATTTACGACTCGGAGTGAAAACTTGGACAGCTCTCAGTCTCAAGGTACAAATATTTGCTTAGAGTACGAGTTGTCACACTCTTCGAACAGATGACTAGGTGATCGACACCAATAAATCAGTAGTAATTGTCTTTGTTGTCTGTGAATTAGTGTTATTTGCTGCGTTAAAGTAGAAAGTAATGTGCTTCTCTTCTCACAAAGGAGTGCACTATTTTCTTCGCAGAACCAAGCACTTTAGAAACCATTCGAAAAAGATTTACTACTGGTCAGTAAAAGAGCTACTGCAACCTAGCGGGCACTTATCTCATAACACCATAAAACAGTTCTAGAGCACAGTATTCGTTAAAGAAAGGTTTTTACGCCCAGAAATGTTTCGTTTTTGATAAAATGTTTATCAATTTCTAAATCTTGGAACAAAAATGTTAGAATTATGTGCAAATAACAATGACAAATTTGTAAAAAAATATTCGTAACTTACGTATTTCCAACCAAGTGTCGTCTTACAACACTGGCAATAGATATCGGCTACAGCATGAAGGCCTGTTAGTAAAACTCGCTCCTCAGCCGGTCCTGTCCCGATATTTACACTAAAGGGAAATATTGCTCATTTTTTCAACAAAAAGAGCAAAAAATGCGTTTTTTGGACCTCCCGAAAAGATTCTCTGAAACATGAAAACAAACGGATTCGATGAAAAAATGATTGAAAAATTCAGAATAGTCAGATTTATCATCTTCTGATGTCGGTATTATGTATTAACTTCAAAAATTGATTAAAAAACTCACACTGAATTGAAGAGATAAGCTTTGCCTTGACTTCCTTGAAATGACTGAAAAAATCGATATATTGACTTTTGCAACATCAATCAATAAAAAGTACCCTACCTTAGAAATAAGATCATTATGGCTGGCTAGATTTGCACGACAATGTACACAACTATAGCATCGGTCACCCTCAGGCAAGTAGTGCTGAAAAATGAGTATTTGTATAAAAAATAACTCGAACCAGAATAAAATAAAAATTTTTACTTGTAATCAAGTTAAATCAATAAAAATTTTCTGATAGGAGCAAATGGCTTTACAGCCGGAAATTAATTTTGCATGAACGAATTTTATGACTGAATCTATCTACTTACCGAAAACGGTGGGGGGGGGGGGGATGGAAGCACTGCTCTTTCATGTGTAGAAGCTTACTCGTACTTCCTTGCAAGTACGTTAGGTGAAAATTGCTATCAAAATCATTTATTCCCATTTTTTTCGTGCGTTATGGTCAAGATCAATATATCGATTGGTTGAGAGCTGCACTTATACGCGTGAATAGAACGATCAATGTATTGATTTTTTTTCAAAGAAGCAGATATTGAGCTCTTGCATTGAAATCGTTGAAAAGTTCAGTCATTTTTACACCAACGGAATAATTGCGTTGATATTGGGTGAAATGTCGATAAGAAGCTACAATTACAAGCCTTCATCCAATCGATTGTATTGATGTGTTCCCAACAATCGACAAATGTTTAGTCTAATCAAAAAACCACAGAAAGTGCAATTCTAAGAGTGCAGGATGCTTTTTCATGTTCTTCTTATGTTTGCTTGGTTTTTTCCCTTCACAAATTTACGGCATTCCCCGGGGCAGAGCGCAGTGTAGCAGAGCGCGCCCTTAGTGCAGCGCGGTTAGAGACGCAGAGGAGGCTGTGCGCATTGCCGCAATGTGAACGACGTTCATCTAACCAAGCGATAAATTTCAAAAAATAGGTCTATCTCTGGGATTATAATTCTAATTAATTCATGGAATAGTTCAGAAACAAGAAAAAATTGTTGAATTTACCTGGAACGTCTTCGTCTTTTGCGTTTGATTATCCTTATTTGACGATTCCAGCACTTTCATCCTAGGAAAGAACCAATGTCGATATTTTGGAGCCAGGACTACACGTTTAAACTGGAAATTGGAAAAATAGCATGGATTTTGAGAGACAACGAGACAGTTGAAGTAACGAAGTGCGAAACGGTAGATTTTCGTTTTTACACACAAAACATTGATAAGACGTAAATGTAATGTTTTCGTGCTATAAATCATGCAGTAACTAAAGAACACTTGAATAAGACGGGGGTCATCGGCGGGGAGTTGAGTGGAGGCGGCGGGGGGGGGGGGGGAGGGGGGGGGGGGGGGAGGGGGGAAGAATACGAGAGAGGTGAAATTTGACAGCACTTCACGTGCACAAGAATTGGAAATGAGCATGGCAGACGAAGAAAAAACGATTCGGACGAGGCTGAGGTGTTCATACATGTTTGAACATGGTTTCACATGTTTTAGTTATAAGTCAACGAATGTTCGTACCTGGTAGCGCAAGTCTAAATTCCAAGTTTAAGAATTCAAGTTTGAAAAAATTCAGACCTCAAAATTTCGGGCCAAGAAGCTCAAAAAAGAGTTTGGTACCAAAAAAACCCCCTAGATTTCGCTTCAAGGAAACGCAGAAAGAAATCTGTTATTAAAATGGAAGGAAATGAAATGTATAAAAAGGAAAGTGAATGAGATTTTACATCAGGTCGGCGGTATGATTTCTGTTACACTTTTTCTGTAGAATTGTTGAAATTTCCAGAAGCTTTTGAATCTTCAAATGTGCCGGGCCGGGCGGACAGAGTCTACAGTACTCTGCGTTGATACCACTGCTT